AAAAACTAAGGCACTGAGTTGCAGCACAGAAATGTTCTAAAACATTGTATAAACATGTACAATGAAGTTCAAGTCAAAGAGGTTGTATGTGAGTTCGAAGAGGAGCAGAAAAGACAAGCCTTGCTGCTCAGTTTTGGAGTCTCTGAAGGCGATCAAGGTCCCTCTGGCTGAGAACACTGAAGACCCAACCCTTTCTATACTCAAATTGTTTACACGATTTTGATAGACCCTCTGTGTTAAACAATCTCCCCTGTATCGATTGGTATCACTACCCCCACCCCATGATTCGATGTGTAACCTCGTCTATGCCATGTTCCATCGTAGGGCACTGCCACGTCTACATAATCATTTTACCTGATGGTCAGATCCTTTTCCATGGCCCTTTGACGTAGGCATGCTGCCACCTTCTTCTTCTGATCCTTACTGGTCTGCACAAAAAAAAAAAGAGTTTGTAATAAATAACAAGTAAATTTCAAGTTCCCTCAGGCCCCTTACTTATTAGACCCTATTACAAATATTTAGATTTTATTAATCTTCATCCCTTGATTTGACAAGAAGGGATATTGATGTACATGTATTATACTGTCTATCGACCATAACTAAGAAATAAAAATATGTTTGGATTAAATGTACGTACAGATAAGATAATGTAATGAAGAAAACACAAGGCTGGTGACTAACCTCTTGGGATAAGGAAGATAAAGTGGCTATGTGCCTGTTGTAGCTAGGGGCTTCGACTAGTAGGGCTGTTCCGAGGATGGTCAGCAAGTCGCACAAGCTATCCCGTGCCAAACTAACCTCCGTTGCTGCCAGAGTAGCTCTGCGGTTTATTTCTGCAGACTTTCCACGTCCTTCGCATTCATTTTCTGATGAAGAGAATGTCCTCTCCTTCTTGCAAATGAAGCAACCAAGGACCATGGCGCAGTTCAACCCATTCCTCTTTGACAAATTCTCCAGAGGAATGAGATGCCCTGTAAAAGATATCCAAAACACTTTATGGAACAGGGAAAATATTTTGAAAAGCACAATCCCCAAATAATAACAAAGTGCTAGTTATGACATACATGTAGTATATTACACAAATACACATTTTCACAGATTTCACGACAATTCCGATGCCCCCACTTCGATTCACCATAGAGTAAAGGAGCGGTTTTTCGGCCACTTAAGACAAAATCCTATTTTTTGGACTCTTTACTTCCTATTTATTATCATTTCTTGTTCAAATCATGAAGCAAATACTATTATTATTTAAACAAAGAAAGAATCCCAGAAAAAAAATCATGAATTGCTATGACAACATTCATTTCCATTTTCACTGTTTCGGAGGTAGATTTCGGCCTAGCGAGGCAGTTTTCGGCCGCATGTACAAAGTCAATAGGAAGCAAGCAAGCGCGCCATGCGTTTCTCCACTGATCTATAGCACTAGCGGCCGGAGCAGGTATCCCAAGCCGGAGCTTCGCGTGCCGAAAACTACCTCTGCGGTGATCAGAAATTGGAATCTGAATTAGACAGAGATATCGTGTGTGCGCTGCGGTATCCGGCTGCATTGATTAAATACATGCGATGAGATACTTTTGAGCTTGCGACTCACACAAAATCGAACTCTAAATCTGAAAAATACTTGAAATAAAGCTCATTTTAGGGTACCCATATTCCTTACACGCGTAAGATACTTTTAATTTTTCAGATTCGGGGAGCGGGACCGCCGATTACATCGCTAAAATGTGATATTTTAGAATATATTTTCCATTGCAAATGTGGTTCTTCAGTGACTCTAGCATGGTATGGTATGTGTGGGATATATGATATATGCTAGCTGTTATGCGATGGATTTTAAAGGGATTTTACCATGACCATGCATCCAACGGATCGGCCGAAAACTGGTGATGGTCGATTACCCCCTCCTTTAGTCTTTACTCTATTCTTAATCATTTGATTTGGCTTTTTGAGTCATTCACCCCTTGAGCATGCAATACAATCTCAAAGTAACAGGTTGCAAACTAAAAATATTGTTTGATAGTAAGTACATACCTCCCAGACACACGTGAGCCTTTTGCAAAGCAGCTGCAAGTTGTGGGCCACTAATGACGCGGATCTTCACATGTGGGACCAGGGCCAAAAATAGGGCTGTCCAAACACTTATTCAGGGAAAGCTTCCTCGATCTCTGAATTAGCTGTTAGTTCTTCTGGCACCTCTCCAGCATTCGTGTTACTCTTCTGTAATATCTGGTATTGATCTCCTTTGAACACCTTCCTCTTCCTCACATATTTTGGAGTTTTGCGAAGCATTTTCAGTGAGTAGAAATTGGAGACCAACGGCTAGAAGAGTTATTCAAATCTTGGGCACAAGGTGGCAGCAAACAGCCCTTGTTATCTACTTTCTGCTGATATACATTACTTGTTACAATTTGGTTTAGAATTTTTTATTTAATGATTTTTTTTAATTGATTGAGACTAATTGAGCGCAAACAGAGGCAGTGGAGCGACTTCCAAAGTGGGGAGGGGGGGGCCGGGGGGGCACCAACAAAAAGGGCACTTTCTGGAGAAAATGAATAGGGCACCTACAAAGGGAAATCTCAAAGCGAAAATATATATTTAAAAAAAAAAAAATTGTATATACCCCCTATATTGTGATTACATTATCAGGGATGATTTCAATATTTGTTTTATCTTTATAAATAAGATTTGTGAGGTCGCAGTGCGAAAAAATTACATCAATTATAAAGAAGAAAAACCCAATCCTGATGGGTTTATTACATTATCATAACAGAAGACTGAAAAGACCTTTGATAAGTACCATAATTATAACATCTAGAAATGCGAGTGTGCTTTGGGTGATATTGCTCTTAGTAGCTGGAAATTAGGGGCACGTGATGAGAGGAAAAGGGGACACTTATCGAAAAGGGTGACACTTATTAGAAAAAAAAAGGAGCACATGTCAAATTACAACGGGTAATTATCAGAAGGTGAAAATGGGGCACGTATCATTGTTAAAGGGTAATTATCTGAGGTGAAAAGAAAAGGGGCACTTATGAGAATGAAAATCTAGGGGCACTAATAATAAGGGGAAATGTTCATTTGTTGTACGAAAAGGGGCACCGATCAGTTTTTAATAGGGGCATTTAATACGAGGGGAAGGGGGGATTTATGAGAAGGGGAAGTGCAGGCTATTATTAAAAAGAAAAGAGGCACATGTCAAGATAAACGGGGCACTTATGAGAGATGAAAAGGGGGTAATCATGGGAAGAGGATGGGGCACTTAAAAGAAGGAAAAAGAGCATTTATTAGGAAGGGAAGGGGGCATTTATGATAAAGGGAAGGGGCTCTCTTTTAAATGGGGCAAAATAAAAGGGGCAGTTATTGAAGATGAAAAGAGCACTTATCAGGAGGAAAAGGGACACTTGTCAAAATAAAACGAGTACCTCTCATAATTTAATAGGGTCATTTACTAGAGATGGAACGGGACTATGAGAATGAAGAGGGACTTAAGAATGAAAAGTAACTGTTTTCATAGATGAAAAGGGGGCATTTATGATAAAGGGAAGGGGCTCTCTTTTAAATGGGGGCACTTGTTAGAAAGGAAAGGGGGCACATGTGAAAATATAAGGTGCGCTTATCCAAGTTAAACAAGGGGTAGTTATTAAAAGGGGAAAGGCCCCTCTCAGATTTGAATAGGAAATTATCAGAGGTGAATGGGGCACTTATCAAAAGTGAAAAGGGGCACTTCTCGTATCTGAAAAGGGGCACTTACTAGAGATGGAAAAAGGGCACTTATGAGAATGGAAAATGGACACTTATTGCAAAGGAAAACCGGAACTTATCGAAGGTAAAGGGGCACTTTAAAAAAAAATAATAGGGGCACTTTTTAAAGTAAAGGGGCCCTTTTTATGTAAAAAGTGTCACGTTAGAGCCACCATGGAGTCACTAACCACTAGAAATATATCATAAAGTCATCATCCACCATAGAGCTACTGCTAAAATATCTTACACCACAGGGATATACCATTCAACAGAAATACCATAGAAATATATTCTACCATACAACATACCGTAGAAATACCATACACCATACAGCCACCATAGAGCTACCATAGATCTACCATTCACTTTAGAGCCACCATAGAGTCACATAACCACCATAGATATACCATAAAGTCATCATCCACCATAGAGCTACCACTGAAATGTCCTCCACCATAGGGATACCATTCAACAGAAATACCATAGAAATATATTCTACCATATAACATACCGTAGAAATACCATATACCATACAGCCACCATAGAGCTACCATAGATCTACCATTCACTTTAGAGCCACCATAGAGTCACATAACCACCATAGATATACCATAAAGTCGTCATCTACCATAGAGCTACCACTGAAATATCCTCCACCATAGGGATACCATTCAACAGAAATACCATAGAAATATATTCTACCATAAAACATACCGTAGAAATACCATACACCATAGGACGGCATCAATGATATACCATTGACCATAGAACTCCACCATTCAGCAATTTATTGTGTGGTATACCATAGAAATATATTCTACCATATAATATATCATAGAAATACCATTCACCATAGAGCCGTACCATAGGAATATCATAGATTTTTTTTGTAAGGGTAAGTATTCTAATCATTAATTTAGGATCTAGATCTAGATCTAGAGTCTAGATCTAAATAAGCATAAAGCAAGCTATCGTAAGTCAAATAAGCTTTATTTATGTTAGACTATTTTAAATTTTATTATTGTACTTTTGTAGGCCTAATATTGCAGCAATTCCTTTGATTGGTATTCAAGGTACAGGCACCAACGACAACGGAAAGAAGAAGCCCAGCACGGGGCCGGAGATAGGGTCTACGAATATGCCAGGACGTCCACGGGGAGGCAGCGGCGCGGTAGAGGGTGTCGCGTCGTTGTTGTTACTGTACAGTTGATGGGGAGAATCTCCAAAAGAAATCGGGAATGAGACGCTTTACTCACATCTTGGTCTTTCTTCTGGATACAAATCAACAACTAGATCACCAAGGGTAGTCTCCAAAAGTACTGCCATTTTCCCATCAAATTAGAAGGATTTTATGAGCTAAGAATAGGATTGATTGCAGGTTTCAGAGCACAGCGACCAGCGCAATTATATTTTTTCTACAGGATGCTATGGTGTGAGCTAGCTATGGACTAGACGTCAGATCGACGTCGCACCCCTCACGCGGCGGTAGATTATCCTATGAATAAAAAATAACCACAAAAAGTGAGCCCACGCATATTTCCGATTAGGCGCACCAGAAGCAGTTTGGGATGGGGGGGGGGGGGGGGGGGGGGGGGACATTCAAGGGGGCTCACCTTCCAGGGGCAGTGGCGTAATGAGCAAAAAAAAGTTTGGATTCTTACACGTTACATGCAGGTCACACAGGGGGGGGGGGGGGGGCAAACATTCCAGGGGGCTCACCTTCCAGGGGCAGTGGCGTAATGAGAAAAAACGTTTGGATGCTTACAAGTTACATGCAGGCCCCACGTAACGATCAGGTAGAGCGCAAATTGGCGTGGGGTCAAGGGGCTGAGCCCTGGAAGCTCAGGGTTTATAGGCATTAAATTACATTGAATTACAGAATGTTACAGGGAACATTCAAGGGGGCTCACCTTCCAGGGGCAGTGGCGTAATGAGCAAAAAAAGTTTGGATTCTTACACGTTACATGCAGGTCACACAGGGGGGGGGGGGGGGCAAACATTCCAGGGGGCTCACCTTCCAGGGGCAGTGGCGTAATGAGAAAAAACGTTTGGATGCTTACAAGTTACATGCAGGCCCCACGTAACGATCAGGTAGAGCGCAAATTGGCGTGGGGTCAAGGGGCTGAGCCCTGGAAGCTCAGGGTTTATAGGCATTAAATTACATTAAATTACAGAATGTTACAGGGAACATTCAAGGGGGCTCACCTTCCAGGGGCAGTGGCGTAATGAGCAAAAAAAGTTTGGATTCTTACACGTTACATGCAGGTCACACAGGGGGGGGGGGGGGGCAAACATTCCAGGGGGCTCACCTTCCAGGGGCAGTGGCGTAATGAGAAAAAACGTTTTGATGCTTACACGTTACATGCAGGCCCCACGTAACGATCAGGAAGAGCGCAAATTGGCGTGGGGTCAAGGGGTTGAGCCCTTGAAGCTCAGGGTTTATAGGCATTAAATTACAGTCAGATATATTTAGATACCTGACACTGGCAGGTCACTCATTGGCGGGGAGTCCAGGGGGCAGCGCCCCCGGTAGCTCAGAGGTTTTAGATATTTAACTACGGTCAGATGAGCATCCAGGGGCCCGCCTTAGGGCCCTTGGTGGGGTCCAGGGGGCAGAGCCCCCGGAAGCTCGGGGGTTTTAGGTATTTAATTACGGTCAGATGAACATCCAGGGGACCGCCTCAGGGCCCTTGGCAGACTTTTATTTTTTTCTCTCTCTGTAACATACTTTTTCAAAAAGTGAGGGGGGCTCGAGGCCCCGAGCCCAGCCGTTCTGCATGAAGACAATGAAGTCTTCTTAATAAGCATATTTTTCGCCCGACTGTAAATCAGAAGATTGTCTGGTTGGGTAGTTATGAATGTCTCTATTTAGAGTAAAATCGTTACAAAATGATAAATGCAGTTCTTTTTTATTAAGTCGGTACATGAACACTGCAATTTGCATGAAATGAATATCAGTAACTTTCAAAGTTCTTAATCTGAAAAATAATAGGTCAGTGTTATAAGTACCCAGAGCCACTACAAAGTCGCATGGCTCTCTTTTGCAACCTTAAGATACCATCAGTGTTTACTTTATTAATGGCCCATACAATGTTACAGTAAGAAATACGTGAATGAATGAAAGATTTGTAATAATGAACAAAATACTAAGTGGGAAAAAAGCTTTAACTTGTACATAACACCAATATAACGAGACAAAACTCGAGAAAGATCACGTAGGCCTACGTGTTCATCAAGCGCGTAGCCAGGATTTCATTTAAGGGGGGGGGGCGGCAGTGAGCACGCGTAGCGCGCTCCCTAGGGGAGTGGGTGCAAGGAGGGGGGGGGGGAGTTTCCCCCTCCCTCGCTAAGCGCGAAAGCTTTGACGTTTCATCAAATTATTAGTGAAAGAAGACGATTCGTTCGACTCTTAATCCTTATCTATAGTCAGTTTCTTTTGAAGAAGATTAGAGAAAGAAGACGATTCGTTGGACCGTTCTCGGCTCTTAATCCTTATCTAAATTCAGTTTCTTTTGACGTTTCATTAAAGAAAGAAGACGATTCGTTGTACCGTCCTCGACTCTTAATCCTTGTTTGGATCAGGTTCCCCTTCCTCCGCGTGTAGCGCGGTAGCTCTGACGTTTCATTAGATAATTAAAGAAAGAAGACGATTCGTTGTACCATTCTCGATCGACTCTTAATCCTTGTCTGAATTCAGTTCCCCCCCCCCCCACCCCTCCCGCGCGAAGCTCTGAAGCTTTGACGTTTCATAAATTATTAGAGAAAGAAGACGATTCGTTGTACCGTCCTCGCCGACTCTTAATCCTCATCTGAATTCAGTTCCCCCCCCCCCTTCTCCCGCGCGAAACGCGGAAGCTTTGACCTTTCATTAAATTATTAGAGAAAGAAGACGATTCGTTGTACCGTTCTCGACTCTTTATCCTTTTTCTTCCTACGTCCTCTTCCTTTTTTTTCTCTCTCTTTTTTTTTTTGGGGGGGGGGGGCATATGGAAACGTTGTATCATCCGCTCAATCTGACTTGCGTGCATAGAACAAATAAGCATTTTTCCATGAAAAGGTGAAGTTTTCTAAAATGTGCGTTTCTTTCGAGCATTGGGGCGCCCGGGAATCACTCGGGTTTCATTTCATAAAGTATAATATAAAAAGACCATATGCAAATTTTCTGTACTTTTGTCGGAAAAAAATAGATTTATCCAGCACAATGTCGTCTCTTTTTGCGTTGGAGAAGAGCAAAAATCGAGTTTCAGTCATACTTTGGCCGCTCTCGCAAGCTCTCACTCGTTTCACTGTGGTCAAGCGACTTTGAGGCAAGCGGTTAATGAAAATACTAATCGTTAGCTTTCTTCTGGTATTAAACTTGTTTTGATTGATTGTATAATTTTGTCGGAATAAAGGAAACAAAAAGGCTTGACCAATAACTTATCAGCGTCTGAATTGACCTTTTGACCTTGAATTTCCTGATGCAAGCTCACATAAACAGGTTCTAATGACATCATCTTCGCTCAATCGGTGTCTTTTATCGTAAAATGCTACACTTTCACAATGTTTATACATCTTTTTTAATTATTAGTAAGATATTACATATTTTGTCTGATATCACTGAAGTTTTGGGTTCTATTTAAAGGTACTATGCCCCATTTGCAGGCCAAACAAATTAAGAAGTTAAATTCCAACTGCATTTGAAAGATAATACTAATTTAGAACTACCCTAAAAAGGGTGGGGCTTGAAAATGTCTTCAAGTGGGAAAATAACGACTATTAGTTGTCAAATCGACTTTAGGGCTATAGAGCCCAAAAGTAATAGTCTTGATTTTCAGACAATTGTACCGAATGGTCATATATTTTATTCTGCGCAAAGATTCAATCAGTTTAATCTTGGCCATCACAAGAAGTGGGTTATTGATGTAGACAGATGCTCATGTACCCTTTACAACTCTTTTCATGTATGTTATTACCAAAGAAGAAAAAAAGCCAGTCAGTCACTCAATAGTGTCTGACAGTGAAGTCTAGCAAGTAAACGGGTTTCCTTGCATAATTTGAATATGAGGACACTGCTAACGTTTAAATTTCAGAGATAGTACATACATGACATATTCATAATTCCTGCAAATTTCTACAGAATTTGAGGTTGGTTGCAAAAGGGACATAGTACCTTTAATGAATAATTTTAAAATAAGAGCTATTTTACTGTTTTAATTTACTGGATCGTACCATTAAAGTCGCAGGGTAGAAAGATGCATTTTCCAACCGCGCCAAAGGGTTCGTGTTAGTGGCGTACCTGGGGTACTCCGTCAGGGGGGGGGGGGGGGCAAGCGACCGAAACAAACAAAAAAAGGCGATGCTAATTTTCACTTCTGGCGAGCGAGCGAGCAAAAAAAAATCTTTAAGTAACGTTTGGTATATAAACTGGTATTGTTGCAAGTTGGGGGTGGGAACATTCACTTGTTAGCGACGTTAATTTCATTTTTTTGCAAACGAGTGTAGCGAGCAAGAAAAAAAATCACTTCTTTTTTAATAATTGGCACTTAAACTTGGTTCAATAATTGTCCCATGCAGGGCGCGGGAACAATATTGTGTTTAGGGTGATTTCATACCAATTTTAGCTAGCGAGCGAAAATACATCTTTCTCTCAATGAATTGCTATATAAAATTTGTTTCATTGTTGCAGGTAGGGGGCGGGCACAATCGTGTTTAAGGCAATGTCAATCCCATTTTGGCGGGCAGGCAACCCCCTACATTTATCTTTTTAATGATATTGTAGCAGGTTAGTGGTGGGCACATAATTCCACGAGCTAGCGAGCGTAGCGAGCGAAAAAAAAACAAACTTCTCTTTTATAGGGAAAATATGGTACATAAAACTTGGGTTCATTGTTCCATGTCAGGGACGTGATTATTGAAAGCGGTGTTATTTCTATTTTGGCGAGCGAGCAAAAAAAATCACTTCTCTTTTATAGGGAAAATATGGTATATAAACTTGGGTTCATTGTTCCATGTCAGGGACGTGATTATTAAAAGCGGTGTTATTTCTATTTTGGCGAGCGAGCGTAGCGAGCGAGCAAAATTTTTGTAATGACAATTGGTTCATAAATTTCAGATTTTTTTGTTGCAGGGCAGGGCTTACACAATCATGTCTAAGGTGATGTTAATTCCGTTTTGGCGAGCACGAGCACACCAAAACTTCATTGAATAACGTTTGGTACATAATTATTAACTGGTTGTTGCAGGTTGGGGCCCGTCGGGGCAGGCATAATTGTATTCTAGGCAATACTAATCCTTTTCTTTTTTCAGGGGAACGAGCAAGTGAAAACATTTTATACAAAATAGGCTAGCAAGCAGTTCGCGCCAGCGAAGAGTTTCGAATTTGTTATTTCACTTATATTTTCCTATTTTCATTTGTTTTAATTTTTCAGGGCCGTATGCGGAATATTTTTCTGGTGGGGGAGGGGGAAAGATGCGTTAAAAGTTTTCGAAGAATCTCAAAAGCAAAAGGAGTAAAGGGAGTTTGAGCGACCGAACTGGTCATGAGGGTACTTTTGCATTTTCAAAAGTAGAATTGAAGGATTTGGTATAGGCCTACACTACATTTTCAGGAAAAAAACTGTACGTTTTCAAAATATCAGGGGTCAACTGTCCCCCCCCCCCCCCTGGTGCGTACGGCCATGGTCTTTTTTTAAAAAAAAATCCCCATTTTTATTCCTTTCCTTTTCTTTTCCCTTTTTTTTCCTTTTCTCTTCTTCTTCCTTTTTTCTTTCATTTTTTTCCTTTTTTCTCTTTCTTTGCTTTTTTCTTCCCTTTTCCTTTTTTCTTTTTCTTTCCTTTCCTTTCTTTTCTTTTTTTCCCCTGGAGCCCGTCTGGGGGGGGGGGCACTCTGCCCCCCTGCCCCCCCCATAGGTACGCCAGTGGTTCGTGTTGTAAAGAATCCACTGCTTTCTGCTCCACCAAACGTCCACATGCGGAATCGTTTATCAACTAAATTATTCAAATGTATGGATGCTTCCTTCACAGGTGTTTGTGTTGTTGAAGCATTTCATTCACCTGCTATTATTCTTTGTACTCCAATTGTTAGAATACAAAATGCATTTTGTTTTTATAGTTTCATTCAATAAGTAAGTCAATAAAAGAGTATGTTCTGCACAATAAAAAACAATGTGTGTCCATATTGTACAATGTAATGTGTCCCCTCATTTTGTAATAGTTAATTTACCCATTTACATAATGGAACTACCTGCCCGGTGAAGCCAGTAGCCCGTAACCCCTGAGCACTCAACACCGTGTGGGAGTCAGTTTATGGTCAACTTCTTTTATGAGACAAATCAAAGCAAACGTTTCCATATGGGGGGGGGGGGGGCGGCGTTTGGGGGGGGGGGGGCGACCGCCCCACCGCCCCCCCCCCCCTGGCTACGCGCCTGGTGTTCATGCAAAGACAGGCACTCATCAATATAAATGCCTAGGAATTTGGTATTTTTCCTTTTCTTGAATGGAGATGCTATCTATCTTTTAACGGAACATTGGTTTGTTCAGTATGAGCACGACTTTTATTTTACCCAAATTCAACGATACTTTATTGCATTTAAACTCATGAGTTAGATAATTTTGGCAATTCAGCATTTAGTTGGTTGAACAAGATTATCTAGGTTTGAATGAGAGCAAAACAAATTAGCGTCATCAGCAAATAACATATTGTAGTAAGGAAGAGACATAAGAGATATCATTAACAAAATCATATAAGGAAGCGGGCCTAAAATAGAGCCCTGGGGCACACCATATATACGTAACTGATTACATGGTCGATTTGGCATCTGTTAATATATAATACAGTGTAAACAGAGTACATCACTGTACATGACATTAGACCAACATATTTCTTATATGATTTATTACCTTAATTCAAATGCAAGCTCGAAACTAAACTTTGTTAAAGATGAAATCCTAATCACCAGTACTGATATATATATATATGAGGCAAGAGCGCCTTTTCATTAGTTTGTTCACTTCACTTGGTCACAATCAATACTCAGTTTATTACCAGGTATCTTCTAGATTCTAGGTTATCTAGAACGTGACATTTTTTCCGTTCTGTGATATCCTGTTCAGTGGATGAGAATAATCATGTTGTTCAAAGTAAACTTTTTATAAAGTTTACATCAAACAAAACAAATAGAACAGAATCATGCACTGAACATACTTTAAAGACGGACAGACAGAGACTATAGCATTACCAATACGTTAACAGTTACATTAAACGTAATATACTCAGACATTGAATGGTTAATTATATAAGCAGGGGCGGTGATTTCTTTTCATGACCGGGAGGGGGTAACGAAATCCCCGGAGGTTCGGGCTCAGATTTGGTTTGGACGGGGGGGGGGGGGGGGGGGAGGACAAGTCCCCCCTCAATTTTTCGGAAAATTTGAAAAAGTGAAAAGAAACAAAATGTAAAGCAAATACTGACTAAGAATGCGACAAACTTTTAGGCTCTGGTGGGCATAAGAGTGCGGCGTTTAGACTAATACAAATGTAAAAATCTCCTCGCTTGGATGCTAACCTCCCTCATATAATATCCTTCAACATGTACAAGTAAATATTGTAGAAAATCTGTATTCCGTTGGTATCACGTAAGCACAGTTTACACTGTATGTTTACAAGATTAAGAGTTATAGAAATAGATCAGGGCTACAAAAATGAATATTCCACTTGCTGTCTTTACAACATAGTCTATATTATTTGCCAGGCTGATATTTGTCATTTGAACTCCAATATCGACATCAATATACACGTACTGTATATGAGAAAGGCCTTAGAGTGGGAAATAGAAATTCATCCATGCCTCAAGCCCCTAGTACTAAAATTTACCTAATAAACTGATATTTACAAGACAGCTCTTCGGACTGCACACTAATTACCGGCAAAGTAAAAGTGAAGTGTAAAAAGAGTTATATTGCTTGGTTTGATACTATAGTGTTGCTAAGGAGCGTAATTTTTTAATTCAACAAAACTTCAAAAACCTGTGAAGGGGTAGTCACTGTCATCACCTTCGCCCCTCTCGTTCACTATGCTCCCTCATCCCTCGCACTGGCGTACTGATGGCCCGCCACCCCTCACTTCGTGAACGGAGGAATACCATGCGTGTTCCCAAAATGTCCGGTAAAGGGGTACTTTCACGCACCAAAGTCCGGCTCGTAGTACACAAAAATCTGGCCGCATTGACTTTACACACCGAACTTAAGGGGGGGGGGGGTTCAAAAGGAGGGAACATGCATATATGCGTACCCTAAATAACACTGAGTGGGGAGGAGGGAAGGGGGGGCGGACAGGGCTGATGGCAGGCTTGGGGCAGATGTCCCCCCCCCCCCCCCACCAATAAAATTCAAACGTTTTTCTTACTTTTTTTGTAAATTATACTTTTTATGCGTTTATGGATAATGACAAATTCCCAAATTTAGAGTTGTAGTATCGCCATTTGGCTTACCATAGTCACATACACATACACGCATACAGTACAACAACATAGAGAGACAGTGACGTTGTAACTAGGACAGACACAAATAAAACGTGCCAGTGTAGCAGCTACTGAACTGATATCTGAAGTGTGACTGTGTCATTTATTAGGACCCAATCATTACAATGGCGACGAGATGGCGAGGGTAGTGTTCACAGACCCTCTAGATTCAAACCCACTGCTAGTTTGGAGTTGGACTGGATGTTATTGTGAACAGTTTTAGCTACATTGACAGACTTTTCGCATGCAACGAGTGTATCTTCTTCTTCTTCTTCCTCCGTTGTTCTCGGAGATCTGCAGTTGTATTCTGCAAGCGTCAGTGTTGGTGTCTTTCGTCTCCAGCTGTTGACATTGTAGTTACAAACATTCAAGTGGGAGAGGAAAGGATAGAGGTACGGGCAATGTGAATTTTATGGAGGAAGAGTAGAATTAGAGTGTTCAGTCTATCATATAGATTTGATGGGAGCATGAGGTGGTTGGGAAGAAGTATAGCTTTTGTGAATGCAAAGCCATCATTGAAGTTGAAGTATGAGAGGGTGGTTTCAGAAAAGTGTCTGCTCTGCATTTCTCCAATGAAGTCACTTCGGTGTGACGCTAGGATACTACAGGAGGCCACAAAGTGGATATTATCCTCATCTTCCTGGTGGCAAAGACGGCAAATGGTTGAGGTTGTTTTCTTAATGGTGACAAGCCTAGTTTGGGTTAGGTATGTGTTGCATGCCAACTGTGATCTTATTATGATCGCTTGCCTCAGAAACTGTGAGCTGCTGGTCTGTGGATACAGGAGCATTGGGTCTGGTATGGGCATGTTCCTCCATAGTGACAGGGACGACTTCTTTTCTATTGCTTGTAGGATGTTGTCATTCACTACGTCCATCACTGCCCTCTTGGATTTCTTCTTCCACAATGTGTACGGAATTGGGTGTTGTATGAGGGTATGGAGATCTGGGAGTCTGTACTTCATTAGGATGGCTTGCCAGGAGTTGATGGAGAGGGTAGATTTGGTCAAGGCATGTAGAAATGTCCGATACTCAAATCTTTCATGAGGCAGGTCTAATGTTTGCCCAATCATCTGAAGCTTCTCAATATCGACTTGGTTGCTTAACGGCATAAGTCCTAAGAGGAGATATATAGCATCATCAGCTGCTGTTCTTGGGAGACCAAGGATTTTCTTGAACAGTTGGTGTTGGGCCTGGTCAAGTCTAGCTGACATCCCTTTGGTGATCTTTTCCACTGCTGATCCATATAGCATTCGCGGGATACAGTATACTTTCCAAAGGGATACACTATGCTGGGGAAGGAGTCCTCCTGTGTATGCTCCTGATCCAGTGAGTGCATAGAAGGTCCGCACTCCTTTGGAGATTATATCTTCTGCTGAATTCCTCTTTATGCTTGATTTTATGATGCCGAGGTGCGGATGTTGCAGCACAGATGGCACTGTGTCATGTCCAAGCTTCCACAACGGAGGTTGAGACATATTTTTCCCTTTGTTGTTGAAGGTAATTACACAGCTTTTGCTTGGGTTGATCTTGTATCTCCATCGTTTCGTATAGCTATCGACGACGTCAAGCATTGCCTGTAGTTCAGAAGGTGACGAGCTCAGCAGGGCTACGTCATCAGCTAGTACCACAAGGCCAGAGTATCTGCCTAGCAACTTGCATCCAAGATCCTTGTTGCGGAGGATTTTCATCAGTTCGTCAATGAAGGTAATATAGAGAAGGGGTGACAGTACACCACCTTGTCTTACTCCCTGTAGAATTGGGAAGGGGTCACTTACAGTTCCATCCCAAAGGACTTGGCTTTGCATGTTGTTGTAGAGGGATCTGACCATGTTGAGGTGTTGAGGATGAATACTTGTCGATGTTAGCTTCTGGAACAGACCAGCGTGCCAAACCTTATCAAAAGCTTTCTCTGCATCCAGTAGGGCTACAAAGGTGGGTTGTTTGTTGGCACAGTTGATCTCTATGATTAGTTCTACGCAGCTGGATGTGAGAAGACACGAATGGTGCTTCCTGAAGCCAAACTGAAGTTCATCCGGGATGTTGTTTTGCAGCAGCGATCTCTCAAGGTGAGGTTTAAGGACCATTTCCATTAGCTTGCAAAGGGTTGAAGTTAGAGTTATTCCTCTGTAGTTCTTTGGTTCCTGAGTGCTCTTGCCTTTACCCTTGTGAATTGGTATTACAAGTCCCTTCTGCAGGCTCAACGGAGTGTGTGCTTTGGTCAGGAGAACGTTGAAGATAAGAAGAATAAGCCTCTTTGCCATTTCACCAAGGTTTTGGATATGTTCTGTTGTGATGTCATCTGGCCCACTTGCTTTACCTTTCTTAAGGCCTCTAATTGCTTCATCCATTTCCTGGGATGTAATAAGCATTGTGGGAGCTGAGGACATTAGGAGTGTGTGATATTGTTGTGACATCTGGGCACTAGGTTGGTCTAACTTGGGTTCTTGTGATGTTAGGGCAAGATCTTCAAAGTAGTGTTTCCATCCTTCTGACATCGCATTCCCTTGAAAAGTCTGTCCTTTGTAATGTATCATATCTGTTTGTAGTTTCTTGCTTCTCTCAGGTCGTTGCTTCTTAATCAGGTGATGGAACAGTTTGGTGTTTGCTGAAGATGCAGATTCAATGCAGGAGAGGAGGTTCCTGTGTTCTTGAGCTCTGGATTGGCGAAGTTTCCTTCTGAATTCCTTCTTGTGTTTGTAGTAATCTGCATGTGTTGAGTTGTTCTTTGGCTTTCCTGCCCTTTTCCAGCGTTTCCATCCCTGGAGTGCATTCTGATATGCTTCTGCAACCTGCTTCGTCCATTCAGGTTTTCCTCTTTTCTTTCTTGATGGGATGCTGTTGGGAAGTTCTTTTGACTGTGTAAGCATTGATAGACTAAAGTCTTGCAGGAGTAGCTCTGCCTCACTTTCATTGAGCTCACAGTCCAGGGTCCAGGTATCGTCTGCACGCAGTGCTCCTACATGATGTCGTGCAGTGAACGTGAGTGTGCAGTATCAGCCTATGCATTATACATGATTACCGCTGTTCTGTGAACTTGTGCCTAGTATCATTAGCCATGAATCTGCCTCAATTCGAACGCTTTCCAGTTCATGAGGATCCCACCAATGTTGGTGTCAGGTGGGAAAAGTACATGAAGCGGATGGAGAATTTCTTCACTGCCTTCCAGATCACAGATGATGCTCAGAAGAGAGCATTGTTGTTACACTATGCTGGTCCAGAGGTTTCGGATATCTTTGATACACTCCCAGGGACAGGTACAGATTTTAAAGGTGCTAAAGATGCACTTGACAAGCATTTCTCTCCAGCTCTTAACGTCGAGTATGAACGCTTTGTTTTTCGCCAATGTAAACAATCAACAGATGAAACCGTTGAACAATACCATCTCAGACTTCAACAACTCTCTGCAACTTGTAAGTTTGCAAACACCAGTAGTGAAGTCAAGTCCCAAATCATCATGGGGTGTACGTCAAGTAAACTCCGCAGATACGCCCTGCGGGAGGAGGTAACCTTGCAGAAACTCCTCATGTCGGCGAAAACTTTCGAACAAGCAGATCGACATGCCACTGCTATAGAAGCTAATTCTCAAGATGCAGTCCAAGCTGTGAAATATCAACCAGCACCTGCTCCAGCTACAAATACAAACCGTTTTCAACAATCTCGCAATCGTTCATCTAGATCCTCCACTAAGTGTCGCAACTGTGGTGGGGCATTTCCTCACAAGCAGGACAAACCATGCCCGGCAAAAGGTAAACAGTGCCATTCGTGCGGGAAAATGAACCATTTCGCCAAATATTGCCGATCTAAACCTTGTACCCCGCAAAAGACGATCCAAGCTTCTACACATACTTCGGCACAGTCTACGGTAGACGACACCACTCATGACCCTGATGGCGACGCTTATGCCTTTCAATTTAACATCAACTCGAAAAAGGGCAATAAACCAATGGTGATGGTTAGTGTTGATGATAATGAGCCCCTTTCAGCACTGATTGACACTGGTTCCTCGGTGATGATGATGAGCAATGAAACATTCAGTCGTCTTAGGTCCAAGCCTCATCTCGTCACACCTTCCATCCCAGTGTATGCTTATGGTAGCTCTACTCCTCTTGATGTGATTGGGACCTTCCATGCAACTGTCAGATACAAGTCAAAATCGACGAAAGCTAAAGTCTTTGTTACCTCTCACAATGGAGACACGCTTTTAGACATCACCACAGCCACAGACCTAGACCTCATTGCTCTCACGTATAACTTGCAACCAGAGCAGACATATGCAGACCGTTTCAGTGGGATTGGTAAGCTAGCTAACTACAAGTGTCACCTTCATGTCGACAGGTCGGTGCAGCCTGTTGCTGTTCCGCACCGACGGATCCCGTTTCACCTTCGAAAACAGGTGGAGAGCGAACTTGACAAACTGCAGAAACTTGATGTCATAGAACCAGTTTCCCACACACCTACACCTTGGGTCTCTCCGATTACTGTTGTTCAAAAGCGAAATCGTGAAGACATACGCATTTGCGTCGACATGCGCAATGTCAATAAGGCTGTCATCCGTGAGCGCCACGTAATGCCAACAGTGGATGACCTCATCTCCGCTCTGAATGGTGCCACAACCTTCAGTAAGATGGATCTCAATTCAGGCTACCATCAGCTAGAACTAGATGAAGACTCTCGCCAATACACCGTCTTCTCAACTCATGCAGGCCTTTATAGATATAAACGTCTTAATTTTGGAGTCTCCTCAGCGTCAGAGATTTTCCAGCATGCAATCCAAGCAACGCTTCACGACCTACCTGGTGTCCTAAATATCAGCGATGATATTCTTGTGTTTGGCACCAACAAGGCTGAACATAATGCTCGTTTGGAAGCAGTCCTCAAGCGCCTCCGTGAAGTGAACTTAACACTCAATCAGAGCAAGTGTGTTTTCAACACTGACCATGTGGAATACTTTGGCCATGTCTTTTCAGCCAAAGGTATCAGTCCTGATCCCAAGAAGGTCGAAGCCATCCAGTCTATGCCTGCACCTCAGAACGTCTCTGAAGTACGCAGCTTCTTGGGTATGGTAAACTATTGTGCCCGATTCATCCCAGGCCTTGCCTCCGTTTCTGCGCCTCTTCGCCACCTAACAAAGGCCGACTCTGAGTGGGAATGGGGCACCTCACAAGCAGACGCCTTCGCTCAGATCAAACAGCGTGTTTCACAGTCCTGTACTATGGCATACTTCAATCCAGCAAGCAAGACTGAACTCATTGTTGATGCAAGCCCCCACGGCCTTGGTGCGCTCTTAGTTCAACATGACGATCATGACAACACTGTTCCTGTCGCTCTTGCTAGCAGGGCTCTTACAGAGGTTGAACAACGTTACTCCCAAACTGAACGCGAAGCCCTTGCTATCACATGGGCCATTATCCATTTCCATGTGTACCTCTATGGTGGTTCTTTCGTCGTGACTACAGATCACAAGCCACTGGTCACGCTCTTCAATAGCCCCACTGCCAAGCCACCACTTCGATTAGAGCGATGGATTTTGAAGCTCCAGCCATATGATTTCAACGTTCAGTACCGTCCAGGCAAGCATAACCCTGCTGACTATATGTCACGTCATCCGCTATCTACGGAGATGTCCTCTTCGGATAATGAGTGCCTAGCTGAAGCTCATGTCAGTTTTGTAGCAGGTCACGCCGTTCCTAAGACAACGACCTTGTCTGACATCACAGCTGCTACAAAACAGGATCCTGTCCTCCAGGTTGCCATTGACGCGTTGGTAAATGACAACTGGAAAGATGTTCTCGCACATGCCACCGACACCAAATCAGAACTCCAAAGCCTGTTCAATGTTCGCGATGAGCTCACTGTGTCAAATGAGAGGGATTTTCTTCTCCGTGGTAATCGCATCGTCATCCCTCAATCCCTTCGCCAGCAAATAATTGACATAGCTCACGAAGGACACCAAGGGATCACGAAAACAAAGAGTCTTCTTCGTGAGAAAGTTTGGTTTCCGTCCATAGACCGAATGACCGAGAAGACAGTCCGTGATTGTCTAACCTGCCAAACAAACACAATCGAACACTCGAAAGAGCCATTGCTTATGTCACCTTTGCCCAAGAAACCGTGGTCAGAGATAAGCGTAGATTTTGCCGATCTTCCTACAGGAGAGCATCTCCTAGTGGTCATTGATGACTATTCGCGGTTCCCAGAAGTGAAATTGTTTCCTCTACTTCCGCTAGACAAGTAATTCCAAAGCTTGATAGAATCTTTTCCAGTTTTTGGGTTCCCGACGTTGTTCGCTCCGACAATGGTCCGCCGTTTAACGGTCGAGAGTTTGCGGATTTTGCACGATATTTGGGATTCCAACACAGACGCGTGACACCTCGTTGGCCACAAGCAAACGGCGAAGTCGAACGGTTCATGAAAACACTGAAGAAAGCGTATCGTTCCGCAATCGCAGAAAACAGATCATGGAAGCAGGAGCTCTATAAGTTCTTACGCAATTACCGAGCTACCCCTCATTCCACAACTGGTGTTCCGCCAGCGACACTACTTTTTGGAAGAGCAGTTCGCACACGCCTTCCAGAGCATGCTTCTTCAGATCATCAGCCTCTCGATGGTTCCCTTCGCTCTCGTGATCATGCCAAGAAAGAGCGTATGAAAACCTATGCTGACAGCCGCGGCACAACTCGTAGCACGGAAATCAAAGACGGTGACACCGTGCTTGTTCGACGCGATGGTCTGGTTCCCAAACATCAGTCCCCGTATCTTCCTCAGCCATACACAGTGATCAGAAAGAGAGGAACCCGCATCACTGCCCGTTGTGGTAACCATTACATCACGCGTAATTCGTCACGTTTCAAGCGATATTGTGGACCTCTTCCTCGCTCTGCTCCTGATGATGATGAAATCGATTTTGACATCGCACTCGATGCCCGTGATGTACCACAACCACCACGTTTGGCTCAACCGCGTCGAAACCCCCAGCGTAATCGCCACCCCCCAATCCGTTTACGCGATTTTGTTTCTTGACTCTCTGCACGCAAACATACCCATGTGCACGTACTTCCCAATTGCATAACAAAAAAATGCAGTTAACTTGTTAGTTTTCTTTATTCACATCATATAAACTCAACAGAACATGCTAGTTTTATATCGCACTTGAATTTCTGTTGGAAATCATTGGAACTGAAATATCCATGTAACTCCACTGTATTACTTATGTACTCTTGCAAAATAACCATTTATTTCTCACCCAGCTGGAAAGTAAACAGGCATTCAGTTTTTTTTTCCAATGTCATGTGCATTGTTATGGAATACTGCTCCATGCTGACTAGAAAGTAAAGTACATTATTTTCTGTGCCATGTGTACATGTAATTGTCAGTTTATATGTGCCCTAACAGGTTTAGACCATTCATTTTCGTATACATGAAGCATTTTCTTTTCATAACAGGACATGTAATGTGTTTCCTTTTTACATGCATCTTTATTTACCACTCTTTTATCAACTTTGTCCTGTATCTCTCCGGCAGTTGTATAATGTTCTATTTATATTTGTGTGAGCTGCCATACATATACTGTCATCAAGCCTGTATCACGCTAGACATTTAATCATCCTCTTGTCTGAATGTCGTACATAGCAGGAAGTTTGAGATATACACTTTTTTTTTTAAGGAAAAGGAATGAAAGTAGTATCTACAATACTGAATAACCCAAGTTCATTCTGAATAGTTTTCACTCAATAATTTTGTTTAAAGACATATATTGCCTTTTATGTAGATACTCTTTTACAGCTACAAGAGGTTATAAGAGAGAAACAAAATGATCAAACTTTTTTATAATTTTAATAACAGTCTATCATTTGTTGTAGTAAATGTGATTCAAAAACAACAAAACGTTGATGCGAAAGGAAAGTTGTTTTTTGTTGTTGGATGTAGTAAAACTCAAATTTGAGGTATAAATAGCCTTCAGTAAAGCCAGGGCTATGTTTTATCACTGTTCTTTGTTTTGAAGAGTATTTAATGGTTTAATGATTTCTCACTCCTTGTGAATTGAGAAAAGAAGGTAAAATGTTATTTGGTATAAACTCGTTCACCCAAACTTATTAATTGCTTTGTTTAATGGGGTTAAAATATAACTCTAATGTATTTGTTGGCATTTGTTCAGTTGAAAAGTTGTGTTAGATTTCAAAGTTCAGTTTTTGTCTGAAAGAAGTAAAGAAAGTACTGGTTTCCAAAATATAAGACTAAAAAGTGGAAATACACAAGTTTTATGGATATATGTATGATATGAAAGGTTCATTCTATATCTTGGAAAGTATATTACTCGTGCTCATATTGCTTTTGATGCTTAACAAGATTTCTGTGGTAGATTCCATCCAAGGAAGGGAGGAATGTAGTATCGCCATTTGGCTTACCATAGTCACATACACATACACGCATACAGTACAACAACATAGAGAGACAGTGACGTTGTAACTAGGACAGACACAAATAAAACGTGCCAGTGTAGCAGCTACTGAACTGATATCTGAAGTGTGACTGTGTCATTTATTAGGACCCAATCATTACAAGAGTCAGGCGAAAAATATTCTTATTTAGAAGCTTACATGTCAGGGCCCGCGAATCGGGGAGGCTCGGGGTGCTCGACCCCCCCCCCCCCCAGGAGCCCTCACTTTTTTGAAAAAGTAGGTGAAGAGAAATAGAAAGAAAGAAAGAAAGAATGCTAGTGTCACAAAGGGGGTATTAAAATATGCTCGTCTAACCGTAATTGAATACAAAGAACCCCTGAGCTTGCGGGGCTCTGCCCCTGGACCCCACCAAGTGCCCTAAGGCGGGCCCGTGGATGCTCATTTGACTTTAATTTAATGCCTATAACCACTAAGTTGTAGGGGCTTCCGCCCAATGGACCCCATGCCAATTAGTGACCTGCCAGTTGCACAAATATGGTATCAAAATATGCTCATCTGACCGTATTTAAATGCCTAAAACCCCGGAGCTTCATACTTAATGCCCCCCCCCCCCACTTTAGAAAAACGATCCTCGGGGGCATGCATGCAGGCGCGTACGCAGGATTTTTTCAAGGGGGGGGGGGGGGTTTAACATTTATAAATCGGCCCGAAAATTTCGGTACGACTCAGCCAGCCGCTGAATAAGCGGGGGGGGGGGGGGGGGTAGCCTATAATCTAGGCGGAGTGCCGAGCTTTTTTCTTCGCGGCTCACGGTTCGTTGTCTCGCCGTATCAGACGTTCTGCTTAGGGTTAGTCTAGCAGCAAAGAAAAAAGCTCGGCACGACTCACGGTTCGTAGTCTCGCCGTATCAGACGTTCTGCTTAGGGTTAGTCTAGCAGCAAAGAAAAAAGCTCGGCACTCCGCCTAGATTATAGGCTATTGGGGGGGGGGGGGGGGGGGGGTTTAGGTCATCTTTTGGAGGTCAGCCATGGGAATATATATATATATTTTTTTTTTTAATTAAAAAAAAAAAAAAAAAAAAAAAAATCCAAAAGGGGGGGGGGGGTTTAGGGAATTTAGGGGGGGGGGGGTTTACACACACAAAAATACCAAAAGGGGGGGGGGGTTTAACCCACCAAACCCCCCCCCCCTGTGTACGCGCCTGCATGCATGTAACATACTATAAGAGTGGTGGTGATACGGGTTTTTTTTCTTCTGCCCCCCCCCCCCCCCGCAAACGATTTCGCTAAATACGCTCCTTGTCCCCCCCCCCCCCCCCGTCATGAAAAGAAATCGCCGCCCTGCTTTTCCGGTTCGACCTATACTAACAAACTTCAAAAATCTACCCTTCTGAAATTTCAATCATAATTTCACCCTATACAATTATTGCAAATATTGTTGTATACAACCCCTCGAGTACCAGAGTGACAATTATACGACAAACCACAGTCATATCTTTACTTAGTGCATCATGTCTCACGACGATGAAAATCAACGTTAGTAATTTCAATATGTGTGTGTGTGTGTGTGTAATTGTGTATTGGGTTTTTACAGACGTGTATCAATCAGATATGATTATTTACGTCTGGGACCGACCTTTAAACGTCACCATCCGAAAGACGTGACTCAGTTTCGAACCTGCGTCCTCGGCTGAATCAGTTTGTAACTTCCACTTTTTAGCTGGATTACAGGCGCACGCCACAACGCCTAGAATTATGTTGGCCTAGCCTTTTTCCAAAAATCTGTTGAGAACTCCCTAACATTGTTAAGAAATTATCGTAGATCACAAGGACTATTACAACTTTTTCAAAATAAATGATTTCAGTCATACCAGGGAGGTGTTTTAAATACCTGGTCATACTCACCCTTTTCCCGTGAACTCTATGTGCGAGTAGCGTCGTGCCTAAACATCTGCTTAATAAATTAAAGTGACGCGATGAGGTCAAATAAATTACTGCAAACGCTGTTATTTTCGCGTGATTAATTTTTCGCGCTGATCGAGCGGCGACCCCAAAACATATTCGTTGTATTCGCTCAAAACATGCATAAGAAGTCATCCTTATACAGTGCGTCCCAGAAAAAATGAACCAAGAATTATCGATGTTTTATCATATATTGATCACAATTATGATCAATAAATGACACATATTTGTAAAGCTTAGACCGTCCTCTTTTATTTGATGCAACTCATATGATGCATGTTTCACGCATGAATTTGAAGAGAGTGAACCAAAAAATCATTTGGCGGACGGTATCTGAATTTCAAAGAGAAAATCGCATTTCTAGAAAGTTCAGTTTCTGCCCTTTTCATGATATCTCAATCAGGAAAAATTAGTAAGGAATAACAAACTTCTGTTTGTTTAAAGTAAGGCTAGCATTTCCATAATTTTATCAAACGATTTCGTTTTCACTGGCTGCCTGCCGTAGCAACAAACGGAATTGGCAAACTTCTGTTTGTTTAAAGTAAGGCTAGCATTTCCATAATTTTATCAAACGATTTCGTTTTCACTGGCTGCCTGCCGTAGCAACAAACGGAATTGGCAAAAGACTCAGTTTTGTTGACGATCAGCCATAGACGAAAGACTTCATGCATGGCTGCTTGTATACGTACCAGGCGCGTACGCAGGGGGGGGGGGGGGGGGTGTTAACCCCCCTTTGGTATTTTTATGTGTGTAAACCCCCCTAAACCCCCCCCCCCCTTTGATTTTGATTTTGATTTTGATTTTGATTTTTTTTTTTTTTTAAATGATTAAAAAAAAAAATAATAAAAAAAACAAATATTGCCATGGCTGACCTAAAAATCCTACCCCCCCCCCCCCAATGGAGCAAAATGTCAAATTTTCAAATTTCGAGACAAAAAAAAAGTGTCCCCACTTATTCAGCGGCCAGCGGCCATTCAGCGGCCAGCTGAGTCGTTGCGAAATTTTCGGCCCGATTTAAAAATGTTAACCCCCCCCCCCCCCCCCCCCCCCCCCCCCCCTTGAAAAAAATCCTGCGTACGCGCCTGATAGGCACTGTATATTTGCGGACACCGACTTTAGCGCGAAATCCGCGAAAATATTGCCACGTTTACAGTATTCACATTTCTTGAACGATACTATCGATAAAATACCTATTCATTACGCTCACATCCAATCAGAATGCCGCTTAGTGTGCTTATTTCGTCACATGATCCATAAGAGGAGAAGCCTAATCCCATTCGCGCAATGATTTCCGCGCGTGCAGCGTTCCGTCTAGTAATATAGTCCTTAGTTTTCCCAATGGGCTAATAAACAAACACAAAAGCTTCGATCTATATTATGTATGATCCTGCATCATTTCAGCTGGACGAATGAAAGCGAGAGGGAGCAAGGAAACAAACGGAAAAGATTCAGCCTAACAGGGGAACGGTAAATCGAACAAAATATACATTTAACAAAATTCATGTTGATTTTACTTAAGATATATCAATTTACTGGCCTGGTACAAGGCCAGTGGATTAACATGTAAATGCATGTCTTGCGGAGAGTCTAT